CGCATTCTTCTAAGGACACGAGTTAGGACGAAGGTGTGTGGTTGTCGGGTCAGAATGTTGGTTACAGAATCAAGTTATTCCTGTGAGTCAGTCGAGAATATCAGAGCACCTCTTTGAACTTGAAGTGTGGCCAGTGACGCCAGGGGACGGAACTTTAATGGCTCCTTTTAACTAAATTTAAATAGCTGCCGGTTTAGACGCAGGAGCCATCTGCTCACTGAGTGAAGAGTGGGCGCTCTCCTCCCTGCTTGCAGTCAGGTTCTCGTCCCCGCCTCCCCACTTCTTTTTGGGGTACATGGCCACGGTCAAACTTGTGTCTGAGGTGCATTGGTGGGGTCCCTGCTGTATAATGGAGAACAATTTAGTTAAATACAAATATATTAAGTGACAATCTGAAGGCTGTATGGCTCTTTCTGTTTCATATGAGGGTTTTGTGCCTCACAGTTTTGACTGGTTGGCATCTGAAATAACTGCATTTTTGTGAGAAAATAATTCAGAGAAACCTGCTGCGGTTAATCCGTTCGATCAGGAGAGGACTCACGGTGACCTGCGGCCTGGTTTTGGGCTCGGGGGACAGTGGCCCTGCCACTTGGAATGGTGGGGAGATTCAGGCTAGTCATGGCGTGAAGTGTGTGAAGTTCAAGTGTCAGTGCCGTGAAGACGGTGCTGGCGGGCCCGGCTTTCTCCCTGGCTCACTGGGTCCTGGGGCTGCCCTGTCCTAGGAAGGCAGACTGGAGTGTTGTGACCGAGCCCCTCTGGCCACAAAGCTGAAATGCTCACCGCCTGGCCCTTCGCTTACAGAAGGTCGCCCACCTCTCGGGTTTTTAAGGCCTTTATGCAGAAATGGGAAGTGTGCTGGAACGCCGGCCCCGCTGCTTCGGTAGGAAGTGTGCCAGCAGAGGGTGAGGGAGGGGACGGGGGCCCTTGAGGGGAGTTGGAATAATGCACCTGTAGGCAGAGGGGTTTCTGAATCAGGTGGACAGTTCAGAGCATGCGTTCCGAGGCGCCAGAGCACCAGGGAGCTGGAGGAAACACGGCGACGCTCGGCATTTCCTGGGCACCGGCAGCTCCCAGTTCCGTCGCCTTTGCACGAAGGCGTCGCTGTGTGCCTTGGGGGGTGGTGTCCTGTGTTTGTGAAGCTGGGCTTGAGGATCAGTGGGCACGGAACGGGACAGCAGCAATGCCCAGCCTCTGGCCCTGGCGCACCCTGGAAAAGTGACCGCGGTGCTGACGTTCGGAAACCTCTGGCGTGGCAGCACGCGGCAGTGCTCCGGACACTGTCCTCTCGCCAGTCACCAGAGTCACCAGCGATTATCTTCAAGGCAGAAGCAGCCGAGAGCATGGCCCCCACGCAGGTCAGAGAGGTCACCCGCGAGACCTTTCCCAAACGTGGCCCCGTTGGACCGCGTGGGCCTGGGCTTGCTCCTCTGAAGGAAACAGAAAACTCGCCGCAGCCTCCTTCATGGCGCCGACAGGTCTGCAGGGTCTGGCCTGGAAATCGAAGGCCTTAGTTGCTCCTAGTCTCATGCTCGTGTGAAAAGTGCCAGCCTGACTGGGTTGGCAGTAAGTATTTGGATGAATAAGGCTTATCATGACTCGCTGGATTTTAATTTTTCCTTTAAAGGGCTCAAATTTATACAAATGTTAATTTTTATAAATAGCTCACGAACACATTTGTTCAAAAACAGCATGGATTGGGCCTCAGTTGAGGAGCGGACGGCATAGCGGTTTCTCTGAGAGGAGGGGGGTCGAGCCCACGGAGCACTGAATGGTGGGGACATGAGCGCCAGGGCCTGGTCCCTGGGTGGCTGCCACTCTGACATCTGGAATGAGCCTCGGGCGCACAGGCTCTTGTCCACAGCGGACCCAGGTGCCCGAAGCTGTTCATGGAGCGGCTGCAGCTCCAGCCAGCATCCCGGTGAGCGCGCCCTAGGACGGTCTGGGCGGCTTCTCTGGAGCTCGGCCCTGCTTTGCTCCGTTCGGTTTTGTTCAGGTTCCTCCACCAGGACGGTCCCTCCTCCCGGGGCTGCTTCTCCGCCGCGGCCGCTCCGCAGGCCCTGGGAGGACGCCCTTCCTCAGTGGGGCCTTCGGCGCCAGCACCGAGGGATCGCCCCGGGTCCTGAGCATTTTCCCGTCAGTGCATTCTAGAAGGTTCCGCCTCCTCGGTCTTCTCCCTTGTCCTCTACAGAGAAAGCTGTTTATGTCTTGCCTCTGGACAGCACATTCCTGTGCCTTCTACTTTTGCCTTCTCTAGAGCAGGGGTCCTCAAACTTTCTAAACAGGGGGTCAGTTCACTGTCCCTCAGGCCGTTGGAGGGCCGGACTATAGTTTAAAAAAAAACTATGAACAAATTCCTATGCACGCTGCACATATCTTATTTTGAAGTAAAAAAAACAAAACGGGAACAAATACAATATTTGTATTTGCATGTGGCCCGCGGGCTGTAGTTTGAGGACCCCTGCTCTAGAGCCCAGCACAGTGTCTGCATATGACGTGCCCTCTGCACCCATCTGTAATTTTTTAAAATATGTTTTTATTGATTTCAGAGTGGAAGGGAGAGGGAGGGAGGGAGGGAGGGAGGGAGAGAGAGAGAGAGAGGAACATCAACGATGAGAGAGAATCATTGATTGGCTGCCTCCTAAGTCCCCCCTACTGGGGAATCAAGCCTCAACCCCGGGCATGTGCCCTTGATCGAAATCAAACCCGGGACCCTTCAGTCCTCAGGCAGACGCTCTGTCTGCTGACCCAAACCGGCCAGGGCTCAGTCTGTAATTTTGATCGTGAATGAATTACAGAATTTTAGCTCTGAGGGACTTTGGTCAATTTACCACATTTGCTTGATATATTGTTTTGGGATTTTTTTTTTTTGAGCCACTGGCAACTTCTAAGAGAGACTTAAGGCATAGTTCGTGTTTTCGTATATGGATTTTCCAGAGCAAAACCAGAATTGCTTATAAGTGAGTCGACAGCCAGACCTAGTGCCATAGCTGTCCAGGTGGGTATATGGAAAGCAGCTGGCTTAGCTGGTTGGCTAAATTGGATGTGGACATAGTTCAACTTAAAGGAAGGTTCTTTAAATGGAATTTCTTTTAAATGGGTTTTCCTGGCAGGATGCAATATTAAGTTCATTAGTTCTCAAGTTAAAATGTCTTCGCTAAAATATGGTTTTCTTTCGCACAGTACAAGCTTTTAATGTCAAAACTGCATTCAGAGGTTGACGAAAAAGCTGACGGCACTGTTGCCAAGTCCCAAATTGCAGGTTCAGAATCCCTTTTGAAAGACGAAGAGTGGGCGAAGAAGGTGGGAGGAAGCCGAGTTACCCAGAAGGCAGCTCTCCTCTGGGGGCTGGGGGCGGAGGCCCTCGTCTTGTTTTGTTACTGGAACACTTGCTGCGTTGCACAGAGGGACTGAGCAAATGGCTACAAGAGTTATTGCTCTCACAAAAGTCAGGTTTCCTTTTCAGAGGAGACATCACAGACCATTTCTCCCTCTGCCAGATCACTTCTGGGAGAGTTCATTGTGTTTGGCCTTTTCATGATTTCATAAATATGAGTGTGACGAGGAAATGACCTGGTGACATTGCAGATAGTTGGTGGGAAAGGAGCCCTTGGAAATGAGGGCCCCTCTTCTGAGCGGGCATAGGAGGCGCCTCCTGGGGGTTCTCAGTGCGGAGGGAGAGTGGGAGGCTGCGGGGTGGGCTCTGCGGCCCAGGCAGGGTTTGAAGACAGGGGAGCTTCTCCTAGAAACCTGTGCGCTTTCGTTCCGTCGCCTGCACGGGTGGTGCCCAGTGACCTAGTCCGGTACCTGTGTGCATTTCCCAGGAGTTTGGATGAATTATATATAGCAAGTCTTTCTTTAATTAAATAGTCTGTTCCAAGATA